CTACCTGAGCAATTGGAAGAGACCAAAGATCATGCGGTGTGGTCAGTAGTAGATAAGGCAGTGTACAGAGGTCAGTAGTATGTAGGGCAGCGTGTAGAGGTCAGTAGTATGTAGGGCAGTATACAGAGAGTCAGTAGTAAGTAGGGAAGTATCCAGGAGTCAGTAATAGGTAGGGCAGTGTACAGAGGTCAATAGTAGGTAGGTCAGTGCCCAGGGGTCAGTAGTAGGTAGGGCAGTGTCTGAGCATCAGTAGTAGGTATGACCTTGTCCAGGGGTCAGTAGTAGGTAGGGCAGTGTCCAGGGGTCAGTAGTAGGTAGGGCAGTGTTCAGGGGACAGTAGTAGGTTAGGACAGTGTCCAGGGGTCAGTAGTAGGTAGGGCAGTGTCCAGGGGTCAGTAGTAGGTAGGGCAATGTAGTAGTAGGTAGGACAATATCCAGGGGTCAGTAGTAGGTAGGGCAGTGTACAGAGGTCAGTTGTAGGTAGGATAGTGACCAGGGGTCTGTAGTAAATAGGAAAGTGTCCAGGGGTCAGTAGTAGGTAGGGCAATGTAGTAGTAGGTAGGACAATGTCCAGGGGTCAGTAGTAGGTAGGGCAGTGTACAGAGGTCAGTTGTAGGTAGGACAGTGTACAGGGAAAAGCAGGGCAGAAAACAGGGTGACAGCATGGAAAAGGACAGGGGTCAGCAGGGAGTGTACAGGGGGATCAGGAGGGCCCAATACAGGGAGGTCAGGAGAGCACAGTACTGGGGGGTCAGGAGAGCACAGTACTTGGGGGGTGTAAGAGGACATGGTACTGAGGGTGCAAGAGGACATGGTACAGCAGGATGCAGGAAGACATGGTACAGGGGGCTCAGGAGGACATGGTAAAGGGCACCTCAAGAAGGCACAGTACAGGGAGGCTCAGGAGGACTGGTACAGGTGGGCTAAGGAACGGTGCAGGAAACAGTGTAGCCGATCTACTTGATATATACATATACATATACTCTCTGGCCACTTTATTAGGTACACCTGTTCGATTACTTGGTAACACAAATTGCTAATCAGTTAATCACATGGCAGCAACTCAACTCATTTAGGCATCTGGACGTGGTGAAGATGACTTGCTGAAGTTCAAATAGAGCATCAAAATGGGGAAGAAAGGGGATTTAAGTGACTTTGAACGTGGCCAAGGTATGCAGAATACCATCTCTGAACGCACAACACGTTGAACCTAGAAGCAGATGGGCTACAGCAGCAGAAGACCACACTGTGTGTCACTCCTGTCAGTTAAGAACAGGAAATGGAGGTTAAAATTTGCACAGGCTCACCAAAATTGGACAATAGAAGATTGGAAAAATGTTGCCTGGTTTGATGAGACACGATTTCAGCTGCGACATTCAAATGGTAGAGTCAGAATTTGGCGTAAACAACAAAGTATGGATCCATCCTGCATCCAGCAGAATAATGCACCATGTCACAAAGCTCCAATCATCTCAAACTGATTTGTTGAACATGACAATGTGTTCACTGCACTCCAATGGCCTCCACAGTCACCATCTCAATCCAATAGAGCACCTTTGGGATGTGGTGGAACGGGAGATTCGTGTCATGGACGTGCAACCAACAAATCTGCAGCAACTGCGTGATGCTATCATGTCAATATGGACCAAAATTTCGAGGAATGTTTCCAACACCTTGTTGAATCTATGCCATGAAGAATTAAGGCAGTTCTGAATGCAAAAGGGAGTCCAACCCGGTGCTAGCAAGGTGTGCCTAATAAAGTTTTTTTTCATTTCAGTGGTTTAAAACCACTTTAAAGTTAATGTGTAGTGAAAATATGGGGTCTGCCATTAGTGAAAATATGGGGTCTGCCATTATTCACCACTACCTTAACCTCCTTAGCGGTAATCCTGAGTGTAGCTCGGGGTAAAATTTCTATACCAAGAGCGGTAACCCCGAGCTACACTAGGGCTTACCATGCGGCGTTGCTCAGGGAGTCCCTGCAGCACTTACCTTGTCCTTTGCTCCCGCGATGTGTCCCCTGCAGCGTCCCCGGCCATCTCCTCCGGCCGATGCCGGCATCCGGCTTCTGTGTTCCGGTCCCTGTGACGTCGGGACGTACGGGCGCCGGAACCGGCGGGAAATTTGAAATTTTTAAAAAATGTCATTTTTGCTGTCATTGCTGTTTCAATGCATTTCACATACATTTTGTCCCTACTGCTTTGTCCTGTGCCCTGCCTGCATTTTGAATGTTCTTTCTGCCTGGAAACTTAGAAAAGTCCATGGCGTCCAAAAAGCATCCCTTTACGTCAAAAGCGGTTTTAGACCAGCTAGAGAACAGCGATAGTAAATCAGAACCACTTGCAGAATTGAGTGATAATGATTCGTGGGGAAATTCGTCATCAGACACTGAAAACGATTTTGCGACTTTGCTCAGCGATGTGCGAATTTGCCTCTGTATTTCAAATTTCAGTGTTTTTGGTTTGATTATATTATTGAATTAAATTTATTATTATTATATATTATTTTTTTGATTATTTTATTAAATTATAATTTATGATTTCGTGTTTCAAATTTTATCATATCCAGAATGTTTAATAGACTCTTGTTCGTACAGATTTCAGTGAGTTATTCCTAAAAATTACAGCCTACAATAAAAAACTACATATTTCCATGCAAAAAAATGGTACCGCTTTCAGCACAAAAAATCGGAAAGAATCATACCACCAAGGAGGTTAAAATGCTTGATACCTGGCGGTCTCTTGGTTTAGTACTTTCTTATTCTCTGGTCTAAAACAATACTGCAATTAGAAAGCCAGAAATCTTGATCTGCTTATCTCTTCTAGGTCAGTGCTTTGATTACTGAAGCTAATGAATTTTAATAACAGCCAGTCATCTAGCACTTTCAAAAGGAAAGGTGAGCAAAGAAAGCCTCCAAGTAAAGATTTCCTTTAGAGATCCTTGAAAGCGACCGAACATTGTTTAAGAGGATCCCTTCTGTAATGCACCAGATACTTTTAAACTCCTCATTGGCTGAATGCAAATATTGGGACAATCTCTAAGATTGCATGAAAATTGCAGCACGGCCATTAAGGCGTGGTGAATTGGAAAAGACATCTGTAGGCGTCAGCTCAGAACTATACCGGACTGTAAAAGCAGCTATCAACAGCACTCATAATTGAGATTTTCATCACCTGTATATACGGCAGAGCAGTCACTGTGGAATCCGGAAGAAGGATTTCATGTTGATGAAGGTAGACTCAGAGCTGCTTCACTGCTCGGCAAAATAAGCAATTTTAAGGGCTGTGCACTCTTGCTGGATGCCTCAGCTCAGTAGTGAGAGTCTGAGCTGTACTTCAATTTCAAATGTTAAGAAATTCCCCTTTTTAGAGCTCCTGAGACCAAACTGCATCAGATACAGTAGACTGATTTATTAAAAGAGCGTTCACTCCACGCAGCTGTTTCTTATTCACAGGTTTTATCCTCCTGTCTATTGTGTAATTAGAATGGTAAAAGGAAATTAAATATCAGAATGGTGCTTTCAATCCATGCTCGGAAAAAAAAAAAAAAATTATTCCCTATATTGCATTAATGAAGAATGTAGCTTGGGATTAAATACGTCTAAATTGTAACACAACACAGGCAAAAAGTAAAAAAAAATATACCTCGATGAAAGAAAATAAACATGTTTATGGTTTATAGAAATGAAAAAAGTGAGCGCTGATCCTAGAAAGCAGCTAAGCACTCTAAGTAACCAATAAATACTTATACAGAATAATATAAATAAAAGTGCAGCGCTAAGTAATAAATCTGAAAATTGTCCACTGTAAGTCCAGTTCATATAAACGTGCCAGGTGACAAATGGAAATCCACAATGGTGATCCGTGAGGAAGTAGCAGAAATGCGCACTCACTAGGAGGCGGATATATATAAGCAGTATATATCAAAAGCTCATGGATCCTCGGTCAAGAAGAAACAGGTCTGGTCACTGTGGATTGGCCTTTCCTTTCCTCAAGGGTGCAGAGCAAAATTCTTCCTCCTCTTAGGTGGATGCCTGAATTCCTAATAAGGACTCTGCAAAGAGGTACTCCTTGCAGAGATGCATCAGCTTAGTTCACACACTGCCGTACCAGAGGCACAGATCAAATGCACACACACGCGGCATTTGATCTGTGCCTCTGGTATGGCAGTGTGTGAACTAAGCTGATGCATCTCTGCAAGGAGTACCTCTTTGCAGAGTCCTTATTAGGAATTCAAGCATCCACCTAAGAGGAGGAAGAGTTTTGCTCTGCACCCTTGAGGAAAGGAAAGGCCAATCCACAGTGACCAGACCTGTTTCTTCTTGACTGAGGATCCATGAGCTTTTGATATATACTGCTTATATATATCCGCCTTCTGGTGAGTGCGCATTTCTGCTACTTCCTCACGGATCACCATTGTGGATTTCCATTTGTCACCTGGCACGTTTATATGAACTGGACTTACAGTGGACAATTTTCAGATTTATTACTTAGCACTGCACTTTTATTTATATTATTATGTTTATGGTTTATGGCAGCTCTTCTCAACCTTTTTAACCCAGAGGAACCCTTGAAATAATTTTCAGGTGACAGGGAACTCTTTCAAAAAACTCTTTTTTGGTGTTTAGTGGGATAAATGCCTATTACTGTACATTATTGGTCAGAATGTCACCCTTAGGGCCAAGGCGGACTGACAACTCATGGGGCCCCTAGGCAATAGGGGATCATGGGGCCCCTGTGTCCTCGTCCACACTCAAACCACACCCAAAAAAGCCTATGAAAGGTACGAGGGGCATCTCATGGGGCCCCCTACTGACCCCGGGCCCTCGGGCAGTGCTCGAGTTCCCGAATGGTCAGTCCGCCCCTGCTTAGGGCTCATTCACAATTGTGGCAAATACTTCCGCTCTTCTGGAAATGATCCACGCACAGAACAGTTTTCAGAGGTGTTTGAAAGGCACTGAGGAGGGAATATGTTGACTCCTTACTGCCTGTGAAAACCCCATAAATGCTGCACCACTGCCAGGGGTGGACTGACAACTCATGGGGCCCTCGGGCAATAGGGGATCATGGGGCCCCTGTGTCCTTGCTCACACTCAAACCACACCCAAAAAAGCCTATGGAAGGTATCAGGGGCATCTCATGGGGCCCCCTACTGACCCCGGGCCCTCGGGCAGTGCCCGAGGGCCTGAATGGTCAGTCCGCCCTTGACCACTGCACAGCAACCATTTGCATTGCACGTGGTTGTGGGCCAGTTGCAGGGCAACCCTATTCACTGCAATGGGCCTTGTTAGGCAGGGGGTAGCGCCGGCCTAGTGTGACCGGCGTATAATTCCTGACAATTAAACAACTAAAAGGATCATGCTATGTATGCCATTACTCCTAAAGTGCGAAATACTCAGAAAAAGTCAATGATCAATTGTATATACACTTCCCCAGTCTAAAGTGCTTATCTCCTCCATATAAATGCGCATATGTGCAATGATATAACAATGCTCTATATAAATGTGCAATCTTCATGCAGGGAATACCAATCCCCTTTAACCCAATAAACTCTGTTCAAAAAAGCAATCATCATATACAAAAATATATGCATGTGGGGGAGATATAAATCAGAGGCAACCTCTAATAGCATAATACTGTATTTATTCAAATTTATAACCAAGTACAATCCACTTCCAAAATATGAATGCTTGTATCTATACAAGCTAAAAGTGCATTGCTATTTCCTATCACCATCTGTATTCCATGCACCGAAAGTTCGGAAGCGGAAATCCCGTTTACTTGGTGGATTTAGCACTGAGCACTGGGAAAATGCATTTATAATGTTTTGCACAAAAGTCACTTTATTTCACAAACAGATTATTGTGAAACTGGAACCTTTATTTTTCATTGGACATTTTTTACTACTTAATGGACATTTTTTTTTTATAAATGATGCGTTGAAATGATATGATGATTGCTTTTTGAACACACAGGGGACTGGTATTCCCTGCATGAGAATTGCACATTTATATAGAGCACTGTTATATGGAGCACTGTTCTATCATATGAACATTTATATTTAGTAGATAAACACTTTAGACCGGGAAGTGTATATAAAATTGATTATTGGCTTTTCTGGAGTATTGTGCACTTTGGGAGTAATAGCATACATAGCATGATCCTTTTAAGTGTTTAATTAGTATTGAGCGCCACACCAAGCTGATTCCATTATTGATTGCAACTTTTATGGGTTAGTAATCTGGGTGCAGGCAGCTATTAGAATCGTGTGTTTTTTTCCATAGTGCGGAGTTCTAAATACAGCACAGTGTATAATTCCTGTCGTGGCCATGAAGTAAAGCATTATGGCCATGGCATGTGTACACCCCTGGCTGCTGAGTTTTCAGCTAAAGGGTGGGGTGGGGAGTAAAAATGCGATTCAAATGTGTGGTTTTATCATCCCCAACCATAGGTATGAACAAGCCCTTACAGACAGTTAAAAAAAATTGGGCTCATGCAGCTGCCTCTGCCAAGTGGCCTTGACCCCTGTCCTATGCAGGTACCATCAATCAGCCACAGCTCAAAGACCAGTCATTGCTACTTTCCTTCCTTGTACATTGTGATTGGTCTTGTGTCCACCCCTTGTAGCTTTCTGCAGGCAGCCTGTAGTGCCAGGTCCCTCCCACAGCTCTGTTCTCTGCAAAGGCTATATGCAGCACTTTGATGGTGTTAACACAAGGTAATATCTGGGTTTTCAAGGACATTTTTTGGATACAAAGCGGATGTAAATCCTGTGTGCTTATTGGGGAACATATATGAATAACATTTTTTAGTCCAGAGTTCAGCTTCAAGAGTTGCACATGACCATTCTCTTTTCTCAGGATATGGTGGGTGGGCACAGACACAAAATGGACAAACAGATCAATATGCTGTGCTACAAGAATGATGGCCCTCAAGATGAATCCATCCAAATGAGGCTCAGAGTAGACATCTCAATCTTGTCAGTAAAGTTAACTGGAAATATCTACCATATGCACTAAAATGGTCTTGCTGGGGGGAAAACCAATACTGAAAAACAAGCACAGGAAGGAGGTGAACCAGCCTAGTGCATTGCTGTAGTACTCTTTATTAAAAAATGAAAAAATGCCAATATACTCATAAGGGAAATGAGATAAAGTGCATATAACAATATTCGTCACACTACCAGACAAATGTCTATCAGCTAGGGAGACGCTAACATGTTTTAAGGGTGATGCCCTCTTCCTTAGAACTCAGAGGAAGAGGGCATCGCCTTTGAAACACATTAGCTGCGACCCAGCTGATGGACACGCGTCTGGAGGTGTGATGAGTATTGTTACAAGCACCTTATATGGGGCGGACTGACAACTCATGAGGCCCCCGGGCAATAGGGGATCATGGGGCCCCTGTGTCCTTGCCCAAACTCAAAAAAAGCCTATGAAAAAGGTACCAGGGGCATCTCATGGGGCCCCCTACTGACCCCGGGCCCTTGGGCAGTGCCCGAGTTTTCCAAATGGTCAGTCCGCCCCTGCACTTTATCTTATTTCCCTTGTGAGTATATTGGAATTTGTACATATTTAATAAAGAGTCTTGAAGTAATGCACTAGGCCAGTGGTCGGCAAGCCGCGGCTCGCGAGCCACATGCGGCTCTTTACACGCTTTAATGCGGCTCTTGTGTGCCGGGCGCCCGCTCCCCTCCCTCCTCTCGGGCGGCAGGGACTCTGCAGCGTGATCCAAAAAAAAAACAGCCAGGGCAGCGTGCTCAAATGCAATGATTGGCCAGTCTCGCTGCCACTCACATCCTGATAGCCAGTGATTGGCTGTCAGGATGTGTGTAGGCGGGGCAGCGTGACGAACGTGAGAGGAGCTAGGCTCCTCTCACAGTCCGCCCTGAAGACCGGAACGGCGCGGGAACACGGCGAGAGGAACACGCGGAGCAAAGGTAAGTGAATTGACACAGGGGGGACTTGGCTTACTACTTGCTACTTACTACTACTATATGAGGGATGAATTAATATGGGGGAATGAATTACTATATGGGGGATGAATTACTATGGGGGATGAATTACTATATGGGGGATTAATTACTATATGGGGGATGAATTACTATATGAGGGATGAATGATGAATTACTATATGGGGGATGAATTACTATGGGGGATGAATTACTATATGGGGGATGAATTACTATATGGGGGATGAATTACTATGGGGGATGAATTACTATATGGGGGATGAATTACTATGGGGGATGAATTACTATGGGGGATGAATTAATATATGGGGGATGAATTACTATGGGGGATGAATTACTATATGGGGGATGAATTACTATATGGGGGATGAATTACTATATGGGGGATGAATTACTATATGGGGGATGAATTACTATGGGGGATGAATTACTATATGGGGGATTAATTACTATATGGGGGATGAATTACTATATGGGGATGAATTACTATATGGGGGATGAATTACTATATGGGGGATGAATTACTATGGGGGATGAATTACTATATGGGGGATGAATTACTATGGGGGATGAATTACTATATGGGGGATGAATTACTATGGGGGATGAATTACTATATGGGGGATTAATTACTATATGGGGGATGAATTACTATGGGGGATGAATTACTATATGGGGGATGAATTACTATAAAAACTTATTGAAACTAAAAACAGTGTACCATCCTATGTATTTTCAGTTTTAAAAATGTGGCTCTCAAAATAAATTTCAATCGTGGTTTTGGCGAGATTTGGCTCAGTTGAAAAAAAAGGTTGCCCACCACTGCACTAGGCTGACGCGCCTCCTTCCTGTGCTTGTTTTACAGATGCAACATGGTTCGAACTGATTCCCAGTGATGTCAAAGCACGGAAGTCACATCCAAAAAGATAACAGATAGTGTGGTTTAGGAGAACAAATGCATAAAAGTGCAGCGCTAAAAAGTGTTCTTCAGTATAATAAAATGATAAATAATAAAATTATGTTTAAAATTGGTGACAGTTCATGATAAGGTGCTTGATACAGGAGTTGATGGTGACTTCACATTCCAGTGGTGTGTCAGTAAATAGTAAAAATATGCACACTCACCAGATGCATATCTTTAAATATTTATCGCTACTTTTTTAGCGCTGCACTTTTATGCATTTGAATTTTAGGAGGTTTTATTTGGTTACCTTTTATGTGCAACAGCTATGTTATTGAGCGCTCACTGATTTTTTATTTATTGGTTTAGGAGAACAGTCAGTCTGCATATTCACAGACCTCCGAGCTTCTAAAATGGAACTGAAACTGTAAAAGGAAACTTTTGATTTTTGGTTAGTTCTGTTATAGTGGTTGTAAACCCTTACATATACCCAGTGAAGTGACTGGCATCAGGTGATACACAGAGATGAAACAAATCCTCCTATGTAAGTTGTACCCTTCTACCTGCAGTCTTCTATTTCTCTATCTGTTCAAAGTGCTGAATGTATAAAGCTTGCCTGAGAGTTCATAAAAAAGGGGACTCAGTGCTCAAATTACACTCTGCAGACTCAATGAGGAGAGCTCTGAGAGCTGATTGGCGGAAAGGGACACACTCCCTTCACACAACACACAGGAACAGAGCTGAGGCTGTCAATCTGCTGGAGCCCCCTCTTCTGGCACCTTTTTTTCTCTTGGTGTCAGGAAAACTTGTCAGAAGTGATTCATGCAGATAGCAGAGGAAGGAAGCAGCAGACATAAATCACACTTAGGGGGAGATTTACTAAAACTGGAGTGTGCAAAATCTGGTGCAGCTCTGCATAGAGAGCAATCAGCCTCCAGGTTTTATTGTCAAAGCTTAATTGAAAAATCTGAAGTTAAAAGCTGATTGGCTACCATGCACAGATAGTTAAAGCAGAGTTTCATTCGTTTTTGTAGCTGCTGACTTTTAATAAATACACACTCACCTGTCCCAGGGTCCAGTGAGGTGCTCACCCATGCTGTCCCTTCTCTCCCTCTTCTCCCCCTGGTGCTGGCATCTCAACTATGGTCACAACTGTGATGTGAAAAAGTGCCAAATGTTGCAGTGGGGGGGAGGGAGGATGTAGACAAGCAGAGCATCCCCTTTTTTGGTGGAACTTTGCTTTAAATCTCCCACTCTCCCTCTTAATTGAGACAAAAACACACTATAGAAGGATATGCTTTGTTCTTTTTTCATGTCTGAGGTTTACAACCACTTTGAATTTGGTTCTAAAAGTCTATAGATTTGTAGACTAATGTATGCTGGTAAACTAGCAGTGCAAAAAAGGGGGCATAAAATGGGTAGTGGTGCACAGGCTACTGAACTGCATGCTCTGCATTGTGTCTGCAGTCTGCTAAACAGCATCTTGATGTGTCATTGAATGGTGTATTCAGCTGTTTGGTTTTAGCTGCCTTTAGAGGAAACCTGCCTTGAGAGTAACAATTAATAAAAAATGAGTAACTCTGGCGCACAGGAGTAACGTCGTGTAAGGGTGAAAAGGATGAAAATGGTAAAATGTATAAAGTAAAAGATGATAATGGCAATATTGGCATAAAAGTACTTAAAACATGGTATGTAAATGCATTTGGTGTACAATACGTCCTTATAAGAATCTCTCAGGCAATTTGCCTGGAATCTTTTAGCAAAAAAAGACGGGAACCATCCTCGGAGCAAGCCAGCTCTGTATGCAGGGAAAGAAGAAAAGAGAAAGGAGGCGCCCTTTTGAGTGTAGTAATAACACTGTGTTTAATAGCAAAGGATTAAAAACACTCACAAAGGAAGTAATAAAACAAACTCATCTGTGTATATGAGAGATGACCATTCCTCAAAACGTCCTGCAGGCACCACCGAAGGTTGGTGCAATAGCAGCTGGGCTGATGGAGATGGTGAGAGACACTGTAGTGGTCAATCCTACATCAGCCCAACTGCTATTGCACCAACCACTGGTGGTGCCTGCAGGACGTTTTGATGAAAGGTCATCTGATCTGGGCCAGTGACTCAGAAAATACTAAAGACCAGGGGCGGACTGACAACTCATGGGGCCCCGGGCAATAGGGATTCATGGGGCCCCTGTGTCCTTGCCCAAACTCAAAAAAGCCTATGAAAAAGGTACCAGGGGCATCTCATGGGGCCCCCTACTGACCCCGGGCCCTCGGGCAGTGCCCGAGTTTCCAAATGGTCAGTCCGCCCCTGCTAAAGACATTTATTCAGCAATGCATGGCAACTGCGATATGTCAAAATGCTATTTGTCTGGCAGTCCCTGGCTTCAATTATTTTGGCATGTAGCATTTTTATATTGCATAGTAAAGTTAACCTTTTGTATTAAACTAGAACTAAAGGCAAACCTTCTTTTTTTGGATAGAGGAAAATAAAGTTTTTTCCCATCTGTGTCACATTGAGGAGATTTCCACTTCCTCTCCTATACCCAAAACACGAAGTGAAAGGAAATCCCTCAAAAATAAAGGAAATCCCTCTACCTATTTTTTCATTTTATAGTATTTAAAACTGGAAAAAACAGTTTGATGGACTATTGGGTGAACTTGATGGGTGCTATTTTATTAACTATCTAACTATGTAACTGTACTTGCTTGAAATGTTCAAGACTATTGGCAACCATGTAAAAGAGGCCTTAATTTGCCTGCACATAGGGTCACAGGATTTTTGAGTTCCCATAGAAATCTAATATTCATCTCCCAACCCTATTATGAAATCCGCCAGCATGGTAATATGATCATTATCATTGTTATTATGCTGGTGGATTTCATTATGGTGCTGGTAGATACTATCATACTGTTAGTTCCTGGGGGATGCTTTTTTAGACTTGGTGATATAATCATGCTACAAGATATCATCACAGTGGGAGATCTTGTCATGTTGTAGTAGATCTTAGTACTGTGCTAGGAGATATTTTATGTTCATAGTTTATATTATCATGTCAGTGAATACTATTATGTTTAGAGATATTATCACACAGGGAGATATTAATATTATGCAGAGTCGTTTTTTATTATTATTGCAAATATTAAAAACAAGGATTTTATTATAGCTGTAGCACACACTCCATCTGCAATGGAGCCCAGAAACACAAGGGACCCAGTGCCATTTAGCTACACAGTGATATATAAAGGTAGTAGTATGATTATATAAATACAATCTGAATAAAGTGATAGTATATTCTGTTCGAAATTTTAGATTCTGGTGCACAAGAGGTATTGGTTTGAGATTAAAGTCATAGAAAGGGGGGCTAATGTTTTCCTATGGGTTCCCATCACACATAGTTATGCCTATACACACTATATATGCATATACTATATATATTATATATAAATATATATATATATATATTTTTTTGTATGTATATTGGGATCCAATCGTGATAGTGGCTCCCTGTAATTTTGACTGTCTTCACTAACTTACTGTAAAGACTATGAACAGTAATAAAACATGTACAATGTATATAGCAATCATCGGTTTTTACAGTTTATCCATTTTTTTTTGGCATGGTCAACATAACACACAAAGTGACTATTTTTCCCATGCAGTCACCCCTACTTTTTTCTTTTCTGCACTTTAGCTAGATGAACAATATTTTTTTCCAGGTCTAACATTAGGGAATTAGAATTCTGAAAGAAGAAGATGGGTTAGAGATTAGATTTTAATGGCTTGTTATTATGAACTGTTGTTTAATTAGAGTGACATTTATGACATGTAGTTGTTGGACTGTATTGTCCAATGCACCTGTAGTGGTTACTGCTAATTTGATAGGAGTGCGTAGAATTCTTAATGTTCCATTAATGTCATTAACTGTCACAACAAACCTAAAACAAATAATTCTAGCTTCCATGGGGTTATCTTAACGTGAAGCATATGCTGTAAATACTGTATCTCTCTCTCTCTCTCTCTCTCTATCTATCTATCTATCTATCTATGTGTGTGTGTGCACGTGTATTCTAGTGTCAAGAAATTTAAAGCTGAATTTTCAAAACCAGTTTTACTTACCCTGAAGCTGCTTTGCTTCTTTTTGGCATTCTGTCAGTCGCATACATCTGACATTGACTTATCCCATACAATGCAGGACCAGCAGGCCTGCACTGTACGTAAGAATGCCAAGGGCCTGCTTACAATCCAGAGCGTCAGTGAAAAGGAGATAGTGTTTGCTGTCGGAGGACCGAGGGATAAGATAAGTAAAACTTCTTTTTCAGGTACTCAAAGAGAAAAAATGAGCACTTAAAATTTGCAATGTGGGGGAAACCGTAATTTTTAAATTTCCCCAGAGGTTCGGCTTTAAATATTTACTGGTCAGCAAACCTAAAACTCAACATATGGTAGGCAAACACATGCAGTTTATTAGTTCCCAAGCATTATTACTAATGTTATGCTTATCAAGTATTTCAATGTGTTGTAATGCTGTTGCTTAAATGACCATGTGTCAAATGACCACAAATGGCAACAGCATTGTGTAAGTAACAGTCAATGCAAAAAGATTATTGAATGGGCTTTTGCTCATAAAAATACTGCTTGCTTCCAGCTGGTATAAAAAAAGCTTCCATTAGATTGTCTTTTGAGGATAGCCAGAAAAGGAGCCATTTCAGGGGGTAATAAAAAGCACATAAAGATTAAATACCGATTTCTGGGAAATAACGTCTTTCAATAGTTAAATGTTCATTTTATACAGAGAAAAAACAATTTCACACCAATACATACAATATTTATTTTTTGTGAATTGAACATTTTGATGTGAAAGCTGTCATGAGACAAAATAACAAGCACATATGGCTTTGTAAATTGATACGTATATGTCATATGTAATTATAGCTATATACAATGTTCAATCTTCTTTTCTATCCTAGACAAAAGATTTCTATCTCATATTTTCTATTTTATTGTTGTAATTGCAGAGAGATTTAAGGCAAAACTAAAATTTATTATTTCTTAATGCAAACACTTTGAAATTGCAAGTCAAAAATAAGGCTCAATGTAGGGCATATGATTCTATGAGTTCCCTTAGTTTGGTCTCTGCAAGCTGCACAGCTTAGAGGTCATATACCTTTTTTTCAACACCTTCCTATATGTATGCCATTATTCACCACAGTATATTCTCCTATACGGGGTTGAGACTTTTTCTGCACAGTCCAAAGTGGCTTCTCCCACAGTTCTAACCTATGTTCTTCCTTCTCATTTGACTAACAGCAGTAAAAATTGGATAAAAACAGACCAGGAGATAGAGAAAGTTAGGTCATGAATGAAAACGATTCATGGCAGTTTGTTTACAAGTTATCATGTGATCACTATGATTGGACATAGCGATCACATGATACCCAAGACACTCACAGCAGCCAGATACTGAGTGCATTGAGTCCACCGAAGCAACACAGCAGTCAGTGGATCATGCACCAGGAGATGCGCTAGTGCTCATGTGATTAGCAGTGTATGCCACATTGCTGAGCAAATGCATGCTGGCACACCCTCCACTCAGGGCTTGAATAATTCCTTCATACCAAACACATATTTAATTGTTATGGAGAGAGATCAAATAAGAAAAAAAAACAATTCAAATTCTTTGATAAAAGGTGCAAAGGTATGTCGACCTTAAGCAAACAGAATTGATTTTGACTAGTCAATTGTTTCTATGATAATAAAAGCACTTAGATACTGTAGATATTTACTTGTCATGGAACTTTACCTTATATCAACCTCATGTTTATTAAAATCACTTTCTTTGTAATGAGAAAAAAAGTTGCGCTAAGCCAGACGTACAGTTTTGTGATAGTTTGACTGACAATCCCTCAGTCATGCAACACTGTACCCAAATTGATTTTATATCATTCTTTTGAGATAGAAATAACTTTGTTTTGGTGGGATTTAATAACCATTGTTTTTTTTTTTTACTATATAAAGGTAAAAAGACAGACAATAAAAAAGTTAACGTTTCTGTTATAAAATATATCAAGAAATAATCTTTTTTCATAAATTTAGGCCAAAATATATTCTGCTACATTTCTTTGGTAAAAAGGTAAAAAGGAAATCAAAATAAGTATAATAATAAGTGTATAATTAGTCTGGGTGAAAGTTAGAGTCTAGAAACTATGGTATCTATATCTTTGAAATTTATGAATCCTAATTTTCTAAATACCTATCGCTTGTCCTTAGGCCCTAGAATGCCAGAATAGCACAAGCACCCCCCCAAAATGACCCCTTTTGGAAAGTAGACACACCAAAGCATTTAGTCAGAGCCAAGATGAGTATTTTGATATCTCATTTTTACCACAATTTTTTAGGAAAGTAAATTAAACTGGATTTTTTTTAATACAAAGTTGTCATTTTAATAAGATATTTCTCACACACAACATGGGTATATTTAGAAGAAGCAGAACATGCAGTTTTGGACTCTGAGTATGAAGATAGCACCTGTGAGACTTTTGCAGCCTAGCTACAAAGAGTAGCCTAAAATCCAAGGAGCGCCTTCAGGCCTTCCAGGCTCATAAGTCACACATTAGATTTCGTTACTTCCACTGAACTTCCAGAACAGTAAAAATAATTGCTAAATGGCCACAGTTAGGAAAGCAGACACTTCAAGGTATTTGCTAAGAGGCATGATGGTTCTTTTGAAGATTTTATTTTTTGGCACATGTTTTAAAAAAATTAAGTAAGAAAATGACAATGTATTTTTTACACAAGTTGTTACTTTTTAAAGATATTTATCACACACAGCATGGGCATACTTAGAATTGCACCCCAAAACACATTCTGCTATGCCTTTTGAGTATGGGGATACCACATGTGTGAGACTTTTTCACAGTCTAACTACACAGAGGGGACCACATTCCAAGGAGTTCCTTCTGGCTTTCAAGGACCATAAATTGAGCATCTTATTGCCTTACCACCTTACACATTTTTGAAGGCCCTGAAATACCAGGACAGTGGAAACACTTGCAAAATGACCACATTTTGGAAAGCAGACACATACAAAGCATTGGAGCTAGCTGATCAGCAAACTGGAAATACTGGCACTGCATGTGATAAGTAAGCTGAAAACACTGGCTCTGGATGTGATAAGTAAACTGGAAATGCTGGCTCCGGCTGTGATAAGTAAACTGGAAACAATGGCATTGGCTGTGATCAAAAACACTAGCAGTGATTGTGATGAGCAAACTAGAAACACCAGCATTGACTGTGATCATCAAAATATCAATATTTGTGTTGGTTGGTTGGTTGGTTGTGGTCAGAAACTCATGCTAGAAACACTGACACTTTCTATAATTTCTGCTAATTGGAAACACAGGAACAGGGTATGATCAGCAGACTGGAATCACTG